CACCGACGAATATGATAATATTGATTTAAACGAAATCAAACAAAACAGATGATTATTGATAGCGTTTGTAAACTTATTATTTATTATCTTTAAAAAACATACTGTGTCCTTGATAGAGGAAAATGCAGTCCCGAAGGAAAGGAGCTCAAAGGTAATTAATATATTATATTTATACTTCTTTTTGTTACATTTTACTAAGATATTCTGACAAAATTTACAAGCTATCAAAAATAAATATACAAAAATTACTTTTAACAATAGGTAATTTAATTAATATCAAATAACGCAATTATTATACAGTAAAAAATATTACTGTAGGAATTTTAAAAGAAATTAAATGAGTAATGTATTTGAGTTATGATGAAATGATTTATAGAAAACGGCTGAACCGATTTAAATGATTATTTTCTAATTAAATATTGTAAATTTTTTTATGGAACCACCAATGAAGTATATTCTCCAGTGATTCCATATTAATAAAAAAATTCCATCCCTAAGTGTGGAAAAATAGGGGTGAAGTTTCAAATATATCTTTTTAAACGATTAGTCTATTTACACTACTAGGCTATTTAAACGACTAGTCTGTTTAAATTACTATGCTATTTAAATGACTAGTTTATTTAAACAACTGGTCTGTTTAAACTACTAGGCTATATAAATGCCTAGTATATATTAAAACTTCTATGCTATTTAGACGAATAGTTTATTTAAACTACTAGGCTATTTAAATGACTAGTATATTTAAACTACTAGGCCATTTAAACTAGTCTATTTAAACTATTAGGCTATTTAAACGACTAGTCTATTTAAACTACTAGGCTATTTAAACGAAAAGCGGTTTAAGGAATATAACAAGTTCAAGGTTACAAACCTTGTTGTAACCTTGAACTTGTTATATTCCTTAAACCGCTCAAAAGATTAAAAACTTTTAATAAAAACTAAAAACTGACTCCAATAACTAAATAGAATCAAATAATGCCTACTTAATGGTTTCTGATGTCACGGCGTTAATTTTTTAATACCTGCCTTTATATGCCTTAGCCGAATGGTAGTAGCGAGAATAGGTCTGAACTTAAATTTACTGGGTGTCATAATTTTCCTATGACAAAAGTGTTATAATTCTTTAAATCCATGGAAAGACGTCCACGGTAATCTGTTTCTTAGCGTGAATTATTTTTCTTTTACATTTCATTAGCCAGTGCTTGACCACAATCACACCTGGTGATAAATGGTGATGTAGCTCTAGATCACAAAACATACTCGTATATATCCCTAAAGGAGCTCTAGATGGTAAATCTCTCTATTTAAGCGTAACAAAAGCCTACGCGCTCTTTACGTATGAGATTAAGGGCCGAATAGTCAAACGCTACTCAATTTTAAGAAGTCGTTAGGCCTCGTGGTGTCACTGTCACTTTGACTTACAATTAGTGTGAGAGATAGATTAATTATAATATTAGGAATAAATAAAGGATAACCTCAATCTGGTGTTTTACTCTCTGGTGTTCAACATCGCATCAATTCGTGCAATGCGATTAAATAGTAATAACAAGTAACTAAGAGTATGAACGCTTGAAAATACCTCCGGCAACTTCTTCAATACTTAATTCTACTTCAACTTTTTTTTATACGATCGGGTGACAAACAAGCACACAGTCCACCTGATGGTAAGTGGTTACTGTGACCCATAGACATCTACATCTATCCTCAATAAAGACTCAAGATGCAAATGCGTTGTCACCCGTGAGGACTAAGATGGAATGCCTCACTGCCAGTAAAAAGGGTCTCCGGTTCTCTATACTCACCATACGAAACACAGCAGCGTTAAGCTGCTATTTTGCGCTGGTTTTCTGTGAGAGCGTGGTCCTTCCCCGTTCGAGCCGACCCATTCGTGCTACAACCATAATATAGCTGCAGCATGGCTCTACCACGTAGAACTAGATCAATTCAAAGAAAACTTTACATCACAATATAAAATGTCCAAGAGCCATAACTTTTTTAATCGTTCATTACGCAACAAATGTATACTATACTTCAGTTTATTATCACGAGCACTCATCTCTATGTTCAGTCATCCCCGTTGCATCTCAATGACGACTAAACTAGACCTCTACCATCACTATACGCGCGCCGCACCCACTCTTTGAGCTACGGTTACGATATGCCTCTTGACATAGTCAAAACACAAAATAAAATTATGTAAGCAACTCTACAATTTAACAAGGTCATTAAACATCCAAGGATCACAAACATCACTTATCAGCGAAAACGCCGCTCAAAGACTTGGCCTTCCACGACTACATTGCAAGGGTATTAATTTCGGGATTGGCACAAAGTAAGATAACTGCAAGGGCTATCACATCACTATCACAGCATCATCGATAAATTTAGAATACACATTTAGTACTGAAGTCATTATCGTGAAAAGACATATTACTGGGTGCGAACATCTACTCGAATATCATCTTGAGTAGAATCATCAGAGAAGATGAAAATCAACCGATTGTTCAGCAATCACGACTCGGTTGGATCATCTGCGGCAACCTGGAATTTTATCAGTGTAATGTTTTTCGGCACGATTTACAAGATATTCAGAGGTTTTTGACAATCGAAGACATAGCGGACAACAAAGTAACAATATAATCAGAAGATCAATACTGTTTGGAGCATTATAACACAACAACACGACTAGAAGTCGGTCGATATATTGTACGTCTGCCCATGAAACCAGGCTTCGAAGAAAAGTTGGCTGATTCGAAGCAGAAGGCTATGGCACAATTATATCAGCTGGAAAGAAAATTTGCCAAAAACAAAGTACTTGCAGCAATGTATAAAAACGTTATGCGCGAATACATTGAATTAGAACATATGAAGCAATATACCGAGTTACTACCTGCCGCATCATTGTGTGTAGCGCGCCGAATCACTTACAACTGCATTACGCGTCATATTTAACGCGTCATCAAAGATGTCATCAGGCTACAGCCTAAACGACTTGGTGTACATTGATCATACGTTGGAGACTGTATAAAGTCGCTTTCATTGCAGATATCGAAAAAATGTTTCGAGCGATCATTTGCAGTGATAACGACAAACAACTGCAAAAATATCATATGGAGTATATCTTCGATCAACAAAACCAACTACCTAGTCAGGTCATAAATTCTGTTACATGTTTAATATAAAATAATTGAAACAAGTTAATTCATTATGTAACCATTTATATACCACAATGAACTTAACAAAACATAGATTCTTATGACAATAAAGTTTATTCAAAATGACCTCCGTGATTTTGAATACAGACCTTCAATCTGCGCGGCCAGTCGTCTATCGCAGCACGAACGAGGTCCATGTCAATATCGGCGGCTGCCTTAATCAAGGATGTCTTGAGTGACTCCAAATTGGGATGAAGCTTTGAGCACGCCTTTTCCTCCAAGTGTTGCCATATCTTGTAATCTAACGGATTCAAATCTGGACTGGAGGAGGGCCAGTCTTCGTGCCAGATAAAGTCGATTTCACGCGCCGCCAGTCAGTCTTGTGTGCTCTTCGCTCTATGAGCTGGCGCCGAATCTTGTTGGAATACCCAGTGCCTGTTATTGAACATGATATGAGAAACAGGTTCCACAAGGTTCGTCAGGACTGTATTTTGATACACAACTGCATTCGTTTTTACACCTTTCTCACTAAAATGTACCTCTGTTGAGCGAGGATGGAAAATGACCTCGTTGGACACGCGGAATATGGTTGCTCGCTTCTTCACTACTGTGTGCGTACACCTTATAATTTTGTTTGTTGTAGCTCTCTTCTACGGTAAAAATTTTTTCACCCGAAAAAATAATTTCCCGATATTTTTTTCCCGCGTACCGCTTCAACAAAGCGCGGCATCTCTTCAGTCTCAGGTCCATTAGACGAGCATTCAAACGATGTCCTGTTTTATATCACACACGGATATAGAGCTTTTTCGGTGTATTAGACGACGATTTGCTCAAAAATACGAGAAAGACTTCAGGATGAATCAGAAACATCTCGCTCTTCTATGGAAAAATAGTAGTTGAAGCTGAATACAACCTTTTGAGTCGAATCGAGAAGACTATGAATAAGCAGCACAAGATCTTCATTGACCATATCACAAAGCTAGAAAAAGAAGCCAACATCATAGCAAAAAAAATTTAGACTGAGGAAATCTTCAATGAATTTATCCTCTCATCCATGATAGCAAAGAATATTTTTGCTAATCTAAAAACATTCAAGAAACGTTGGTGGAGACCATCACTGACATCCACTATGTTCAAACCAGTTATCTGTTCAGTGTTAACTGATCAGTGGTCAAACCACGACCTACATCAATATGTGGTTATTAATCTTCTGCTGGGAGCAGCTATACTAGCATTAGCATTATTTGCTTTGCATAGCCTACGCCGCAGATACACCGCACGTATACAAGCACGCTCACAAAGTCAGTTGATCAGTTCAAGATCAGTTGGCTTGAAATCACAGTGCACTGGCACAAGCCCTAACTTAGAGGAAGAAGCATCGGTCGAGTCCCGCGGCATCGCCGTTTCGTCATTGGGTGAACTGAGTGCACGCGCACTGGATAAGTTCACGTCGCCTACAGTTTGCGAACGTTTTCGTGATCTTAGTGCAGTGTAGTGAAGTGTGAAATCTATATGTTTTTTAGTTGAAATTTATAAGCTAATCTTTGTAGTATCATCATCAACATTATCATCTGTCCTCTCTCTGGCCTCACAGCATATACAGTCTTTATTTTTGCACATCAGCATTTTTACCTTATTGTATCATTTTTCATTCTCATCAATTCAGTACGCAATCATTCGCCACCGCGCATTGTATTCACTATCAATAATATCAGAATAACTTACATAATCAGTAGCCTTTATCATTTCTATCAACTTCTAAGATTGTACAGCACAGCACCTCGTACATACGTTTTGATATAATAATGAAATACATGAAAATAATGTTTACTTCATAAATTTAATTTATATTTGAATTTTTTTTAATGTGGCTTCATAATTCTTTGTATACTTGTGGTCGCGGTCAAACTTTTCTGTCAATTGCTTCCAGTAATTGGGCTCCCTGTTGATAAGGTGGGCGATCACAAGAAGAGTACTGCGACGCTGTGGTTCAGTGCACCTAGCGCACTTATTCGCTAACGCCTCTCTTATGTGAGCTGAATTAAAAAGAAGTTAAACATCTTTATTAGTATAACTATTAACTATAAAAATCTAGCAATTTTCTACCTGTAAAATAAGGACTAAATAAACTAAAGTGAAATGAAATAATATGAACAAAATAGAAAAGAACACTATGCTTTCTAAGTAACAAATTAATATTTTGTTTTTAAATGTATTTTAATGAGGTTATTCTGACTATATCTGCAGATTTTCTTTCGCTCACTATTGCTCGATTGAATCGTCTACTCATACTATAACAGGACACAGGTGTCTTCTCAATTTTAAAAGGATATTGAGCAGTAAAATTCGCTGCGCGACTTCCGTGATAATTGGTAAACATCATAATTCCCTTTACCGTTTAGCACCTGGTAATCACTTAAAATACTAATGATACCGAGGGGAATCTTTTTTTTTTTTACTTAAACGTTTACATATTATATAAATTGTACCATAACGCATACCTTTTTTCTGGATGAACCGATTTCGATGATTTTTTTTATTTGAATGCTGGTGCTTTTCATGTGGTCCCATATGAATTTGATCAAGGTCTGACCAATAGTTTTTAATTATTCTTAATTATTTATATTTAAGTCGGTTGTACAATTTTATTTATTTTAAACTATCGTAACTACAATGCAATAAATTATTTTGTAGCGATAAATAAAGATTCTTTCTTTTTATTGCTCAAAGACACACACCCAAAAACTTAACAATTACTTGTAGGCCATACAATTATTTATTTAGTGCGAGGTTCGATCCCACAGCCCTGCTGCGCTCTGAACACATACTTACCTAACCACCGCGTCACTAAGCCGTCAATCGAAATCAAGTTGCTTGTATATTGTGAAAATCAGAGAGATCAAATCTTATATTATCTTTCATTAGTGAACTCAAACATCTTGTTTGTTGCTTGATTATTATTAATTACAGCTTGCGATTATAATTAATATATCGCAAGCTGTAATTAATAAACGCGTAAGTAAAGAACTAAAATGAGCCACCTTTAGCCATCGACTTCCTGCATCTCTTACCCGGTCGTTGCTCCATCTAATAGGGTGACCGCCCTTCACTTCGCTTACTTTCAATTCTTTGAAACACCACCTTGCCACTTCAGTTTACTGATTCGTTAAGAACAACTCAACTCAGAGAAACTCAAAACATGGCGCTCTTTATAACTCGCTGAGCCACTTTGAACTCCTTCATATGACCAGTGATGAAGGACCACGTCTCAGATTCATATGTATGGCATTACTACTGACAAAGCACACTGGTTGTACACTCTTATTTTGACTCTTATTGAAATGTGTCGATTAGATGTGGCGTAATCTCCCGAACGCTACCCAATCCAGTTGGATCAGTTGATTGACCTCGGGGTTGCAAAATGTATTCTAGGTAAACACACTTGTCAACGACTCTGAGCACTTAACAACTACTGTCTTAGGTGTTACATAGACGTTACTCATTTTGTCTTTGATTATGTTTATTTTAAGTCCTATTAGTTAGGAAACACTATTCAGTTCATCGAACATGGTGCTAAAGTCCTCAGCGATTCTTTTATAATGACTATATCGTCAGCAAATCGAATTTGACGTATCATTTCTAACCCAGTAAATTGAAAATGTCTTTTATTCGTCTGTAAACTTATGCGTGGTTCATATAGAGAGATGAAGAGTTTCGAAGGTTTCTTATATTTACGCGAACACTACACATTGAATAAAACTACTTTTACGGATTCTATCGCATTTAATTAAATTGTTTTTATTGATTTTATTCAATGAGTTTTGAAGATTTAATGTAACAGGGTGACGTACACCACTCTGCAGGTATATGGTACAAGAGGCTTTACGAAAACCGGCTTGTTCGAGAGACAGGAAGTAGTCAAGATTGCGTGCGAGCCGATTCGTAATGATTGAAAACAGAGTTATTTGATAGAGCGTTGTCGCCTTTACGCTAAGCCGTTTTTAGATAACAAATCAACGCACTTGTTGCCAATGCTTCAGCGCTAATGTCACCATAGAGGATGGAATTAAAAACGTTCTGAAGAACGTAAAATCGGTTTTCTAGTAGTTTTCAAAAGCTCCACTGTAATTGCATTCTCACTCTGCCTAACCGTTTTATGGTGCCGGAGAGCTGTTTTAATATTACTCGGACTGACAAAGGCATACTATAACTCTTGTTACAGATATATACTGAATGACTACTTCGTTGGTCTAGTGGTTGTAAACGCAACTGCTGATCATAAGGTCCCAGGTTCGAACCCCGGGTCGCGCCAAAAAAAAACAGTTATTGAGTTTTTCCGTCAATACATTCTCAGTAGCTGCCCTGAGTCAGGAAGTTGCGAAGCGGTATTCCACCCCCGTGCCTCGGAAAGCACGTTAAGTCGTTGATCCGGCGCCTGATCTCTATTCGGTCGTGTTGGCTTATCGTCCCATCGGACAATGAAAGTGAGGGAATAGGGAGCGCTCATGTGCTTGCTCATACACTTAGACAGTATAATCCTATCTTGCACCGATGGCTAATCTCTGTTGAGGCTGGCTACCGTGACTGAAATTCGGTCTGGAGGACATAATATATTGAATATGAATATACTCACATTTTAGTTCTCTACCTTCGGGCGAACATTTGCCTATATCAAGTAAACATCTGATGTACGACACTAGGAAACGTCGATTGGTCAAAACGTCTTCAATATTCAAGTCGTCGTACCGGCTCGTATATTTTTCACTTGTTTGTGCGTGAGCAATGGTAACAAAAAACAACAAAATGATGTATGCAACGAGTTTCATCCTGAAATATAAAAAACAATCCAAATAAAATGCTTTGCGTCAAATTTCTTAAAAATGTCATCCCGTTCAATATTCACTAATTTTTAACTCCCGGTATTTAGGATTTAGCACCCATCATAGGAGTACTAAATATTTGACGTCTTTATGTTACAGTAAAAATAATATACAAATAATTCACTATACTAAGACATGATTTCAAACGGCATTTTTACTATGTATAAGTAGTATTATTTATGCACACAAAATTTAGTACTTAAACTCAACACATTATGTAAATAAAAATTACTTATTATTTATTTGTAACACAAAATATGGCTCCTGTCCGAAATATCTGCAAGTTCTTGTAATACAATACGAGAATACACTAGATCAGGATTTTTTTATATGAAAAATCAAGTTCTGGCTCGGCGATACCGAAACGGGTTTATTATTTATTTCTTATTTAGAATTCTTGTAACTTAACCTTCCATGATGACCGAGCACCGAATGTGACTAGGTATTGCTTGTTATTATGGAACGTTAATAATTAGACTTCAGTTCACCTCATTCATTCTTTACGGCCTATAGCCTAATGACCACATATGATCATTTTTAATGAATAGTAGTAAAAATTTAAGAATAAGTTATCTTATATATATATTCGTAAGTTTCAATTTTAAGGTAACAAAATGATTTACAAATATACCATAACAAAAGTTAACAAGGTATACAATTTTTATCATATTTTTTGGATAATAAGATGTCGTATAAATAAAGTGTTATCATTAGTGATGTAGTTAATCTAAACCATTCCATAAAAAATATTTATGGAGTGCCATTATTAAATACATAATTAGTTTAAATAAATATAATAAAATTCAAACTAATGTTTAAGTTTTTCCACGAGAGTTAAAAATGTACGAATTTATTCCACTTTTCTCTGTTTTCACGGCTTGGACTTGGAAACCTAAAAATAAAAGAATAATCAGCAAATTTATACATCAGAAATATAGCATAAATTTTTGTTTCTACAAAAAAAAAGTGCATAATATAATCGTCCTGCACTTACCCACAGAAACGTCGCATTTGAACAAAATAATTTCATTTTCTATATAATCGGGTAGAATCTACTAGTTAGTCTGTGTTCTATATTCCATGACACGAGATTGCGTCTTATGAATAATTTATTTGATTATTAATCTATAAACGCTGATTTAGACGGGGTCAATAACAGGCGCCAGTGCTGCCGACGAGGACTGACTCGCACTGTTTACACGCTGTCAGTAGTCGTGGTAACTTCTTTAGGGTGTACGCTTGTTATTGAAGTCAGTAGGCAACTCACGAAACGAATGATAAACTCACGAAAACGGCAGAATTTACAACGAATAAAATATTTGTTGAGAAAATGTTCCTATCTGCTGTTGAAAGAGTTGACGGAAATGTTACAAGAAGAGATATGTAAAAAGAAACGTCTTTGGATAAGAAAATGAATCAACGACAGAAAAGAAATTGGAGGTTCTGCTTTGTTGTTAAATCAATTGAAATTTAAAGATCCTGAGAAATTCAAACTGGCATTGAGAATAACGCCGAAGAATTTTGACGAATTGCTTTCATTAATAACAAACTCTATTCAACGTCAAGATATATTCATGAAAGATGTTTTGCCAGTCCAAATTAAAATTGAAATAACACTGACATTTTTGGCATCAAGAATGTCTATTCGAAACCTCAGTCACTTTTATCGTGTATCGAAATCATAATTTCTCAACTTATCTTTCTCTAAATCCCAAGGAATTACTTAACGTAGTCATGGAAATGTAAACGCTTGTTTACGTTTCCATGACTATATAATGTATTTTGATGAATATAAATTTATAAAATTAGTAATATAAATAAATTTATGATGCATGCTTTCAGTAATATAAAACTTGTATTCATTTACCCTCATCTACTAATCTAAATATTGTGTAATTTTATGATATGACGCGATGTCACCCTACAATATTATGCCAGCCATTGACTAAGCACTGACTTGGTCGTATAGACAAGGTCAATACCGAAGGCGCGGGTGGCGGGGTGAGTGGACTGACTTCAAAATATTCAAGCAGGAATATTGAAATCAGCACTGGCGCGACAGTGCTGTACATATTCCACGTCAATTAATATTATGATAGTACCGGGTCAGCACGGACTTGCCTCGAATTTGGAGCCAGTTACTGTCTCTGTGTAAATCAGCCATAATACTTTTTAATTAATTCTCTTAATCACTAATGAAAAGTTACTCCTTGGTATTTGCTAACATTTCTTGAATGATGTGTGCAATATCTAAAACACACCATGGCATATTTTATCAAGATATTTTTTTTATTTCATCAACACAGCACGTGTCAACTCACTAGCGCCTAGCGAGCACAGAATACTTTTACTCCTAGTGGACTGAGTAAAGTGTTGCGACGTCGCCGCAATGGGTCTGGCTACCCAATTTTGTAAAGGGTATCAAAAAATTGTATAAAAAATTACGAATTCAACGGTAATCTTATTGTTTTTATACCTTTAAGAATGACCGAAATATTGATGAGTAAAGTGGTGTTTTACGGTAAGGGCGACCGCTTTGCTCCGCATCGCTATGTGACGTCACAAACCGACACGTCGAAGCCGCCAGTAGTCTTTATTTTTATATTTTTCTTATTCTCTCCATATTTATTACTCCATATTTTTCTTGTCATGTTATTTATTTATCACTAACCTTTATTTTGTGTTTTTTTTTTATTTCTGTTATATCACGTTCCGTGGGAATAAAAGTCCGATATTAGAAGATAAAATCCTGTAGATGAAGTTACACCTTAATGCAAAATTTCATCCAAATCAGTTTAGTACTACACGCATTGAATGTAGTTGGTACGTATTCTGTTTTGAAAATGCAATGGTCACATTGCATTTTCAAAACAGAATACCAACTACTAACGTAATACCGCAATCAGTTTATTCAAAAGTAAGTCAAAGTAATCCCTTCTATAACTAGATGTTTGCTCTGTATTGTGTGGTCCACAATTCATGTATTTAGTTGTTTTGTTTTTATCCACATTTTCACCTAATAACCCCTAATTCCTTTCCCACCGAAATGCCTGAAGACAAGGTGTGACAGATCAAAGACCGGACATTGGCATAATTATTGTGACCATTTTTTTATAGAATTAGGTTGACATAGGAGCACGCGTCGTTCGATTGTAAAAGTACCGTCAGCATGTCGACCAAAAAACATTTACGGAGTCAAGTAAGTAAAATAAATAATGCATTATTGCTTAAAATCTTATTTAATCATACATTGTTTTTATGGTGGTTTACATGCATATATTTTACAGGCAAAAGAAATTCCTGCGAAAGTGTACCGCAGAATGAAATATGAAGCGGAAAATGGAGTGGAAAAACTATCTGACGCTAGATGGCGAACTGCCCAAGCCGTTGGTGTTAGTGAATCTACGATTACACGAATTTTGAAAGAAGAGAAACAAGCTAGTACATCAAATGATACGTCACAAAAAAATTTTAGATCGCCCTCAAAACTAAAAAGGAAGCGTACCAATTCTAACCTGGATGATTTTGATATGGGTATACTTCGCAGAACGATAGCGACATTTCATACAGAATTTAATGAATTACCAACGTTAAGAAAGCTGAAACAAGTATTAACAGAAATAATTGGTTTTAACGGTTGTATAGAAACTCTGCGTATCATTTTGAAGGAATTGGGCTACGAGTGGTCCAAAATAGATGACAACCGTAAAGCTTTAGTAGAAAAGCAGGATATCCAAATATTACGCTTTCAATATTTGAGGCAATTAAAAAAATATCGTGACGAGGGCTGCTATATCGTATACACAGATGAAAGTTATGTTCATACAACAGATCTGCAAAACATGTGCTGGAAACCAGTCAAAGGAGTATCAGCAGTGCAAAAAAGTTGTCTAAAGGTACTCGGGTCATAATTGTTCACGCTGGTGGATGTGAAGGATTTGTTCCAAATGCTAGTTTGGTGTATAAAGCAAACTCCACAAGTGGAGATTATCACGACAACATGAATCTGCATAATTATAAGAAATGGCTCATCACACAATTACTGCCCAATCTCCCGGTAAAGGCTGTCATCGTTGTGGATAACGCTTCTTACCACAATGCTTTATTAGAAAAAGCTCCCAACTCCAACTCAAATAAGCAAGCCATGCAAACGTGGCTTGCAGAAAAAAATATTCGGTTTGACGAATCAATGAAAAAATTGAACTGTACGATCTTATTTAAAAAAAATAAGGACAGATTCAAGAGGTTCGTTATTGACGAAAAGATTCAATCAAAAAGGTTTGAAATTCTTGACTACCACCTTACCACCCGTAACTAAATCGATATGGGGGATATTAAAAAACTACGTGGCTAATAAAAATGTTTCACAGAATTTTACATCCATTATGTCACTTATAAATGAACGACTCGAAATGATTGATAGTACTATGTGGGCAAATACATGTCGGCATGTTGAAGACACAGAAAAACAGTATTTGCAATATTTTGACATGGACTTTGAATTTATTATTTCTATTAATGACTCTGATTCAGATGAAAGTGAATCTATGGAGATGAGTGAATAGTGATACTTTACATAATTTACATGCATATTGTTGTAGTAATTATACTAATTTGTAAAATAAATATTTCAAAAGAATATCAATCTGGTTTAATTAATCTACATAATTACAAAATAAAAATAATATCTTTTGAATCATTAATTAACAAATAGAAGAAATACCATCATAATTAAATAATTTAACTTCAATTTCTTTGTAGACCGTATTTGCTAAGAAGCGGCTTTTCTTGGATTTTTTGTCCAACTTGTCATAATTGCCTGAAGATGACAGAGAGCGGACGTTTTGTTTCATACAATGCCCCAACGCTGCTCCCTAAGGAGAGCGTTGTCGGATTTATCACGCGACTAGTCGACCGTCACGTAGGCATACAGATCATAGTTCGCG